TGGGGTAGGGATCACGGTAAGATCAAGGAGAAAGTCTTAATGGTTTGAAACCGTTGAACATTTTTAATACATAGTCACAGAAATTTAATTGACGCATATATATTCAACTAACTTATTTAAACTGGACCAACATTATAAAAGGGAAAAACTCACAAAGCTCACTGTAATCTAGTCGATTCTGACTCATTGTGACTCTATAGGGTACGGTAGACTTGCCTCTGTGGTTTTCTTATGCTGGAAATCTTTATGGAAGCAGAAAGCCTCATATTTCTCCCAAGGAATGACTAGTAGATTTGAACTGCTGACCTTGAGGTTAGGTGACTAGTTTATTGGAAAAGACCATTGGGTATATTTTGTTTTATATCTTTATGCAGAAGGAGTTGGAATCCATGAAATGGCAATAGGTTTTGGTTTAAATTGATGATACTGAACACTCTTAATTTTTGTCATAAAATTTTAATAGTATACACAAATGACATTCTTAATGCTTATTTTATTGATCATGCAGGTTAAGAAATGATCCCCAAACAAATTTGAAAAACGATGTGACCTAGTCTTTTCTTGGTTCAAGAAATAAGTAATATTGAAATGCTTTTACACTAGTAGCTAATGATTATCTTCTTTATATATCATTTTTTTAAATCAAGTTAAACTCATGGGGTATAAGAAAACTTGAAAAAGTTAGGCTCGTTTTCACTAGGTTACCCAAGCCTGAGCTTTTGCTCAGAACCCTAATGAATAAAATAGGAAGATGTTGGATATCATTTGCGTGACGGCGTGGTGGTTTCCCTGGTGCCGAGTTAGCAAAGGTATCATTGGTGATTCTGCTGCTCTGCAGGAGCAAGGTGACTAGGCTGCTGCCATAGAATGTTACCACCTTGCAACAGATCTACTCTGTCTTACAGGGTTTCGGTGAGTCCTCATTGCCTCCTTGGCAAAGCATTTGGGTGTGGGTCATATTTTTAGTAGCATCTCCGATTTGCTAATTATTTGGAAATCTCTCACCCCTGTGTCCTAGAAAAGTGTTCTGGAACTTGTGCGTGTTCCTTTTTGCTGGACTCAAACATTCAGGAAATAGAAATAAGGAAGCAGCAGCTTCTTAGAAAAACTATAGATGAATTAGCAAAATGTAACGGGAACTGTTGAT